TAAACTTTAACCTGACTAGTTGGCAGAGGCATATAACCGCGAGGCAGTAATTCTAGTTTTAACTCTGTTTTTGGTCTCCACCAACTTCCTGAGGGAAATAAATCTTTAACTGCTAAGTGCTCCACTATGTTCACCAGCTTGTTATTAAGTTGCCTGTCTGTTGTGTGGTAGTGGGCAAGTAGACTACTGTGGGTTTATCAGAGCTTTTCACTTTAAAAAAAGTGCAGCCCAAAATGTTGCTATAAGGGCTGTGAAGTAAACCAAAACAATTAGCTGCAAGATGCTAAAATGCTCCGTAAAGTTAAGAAGAACTGCAACATTTTTAAGATAAGAATATTGATAACAGCAGATTTGAGTATGCATTGTTTAATCTGAATATGAGACAAAAATTAACATTCATAGCTAGTCCAGTTCCAGATCCAATCTCTTCTTGTATATCTGCCCTTCCACAGACGTGGAAACTGGATTACTCTGAAACTGAAGAAGTTGATTAAATCCAATAGCCGTGAGCATGGACTCAACCGCCCTCCTACACCTACACACTCAGGTGTCACAGAGCCGCACCTCCCCTGTCACGACAACAGCTCTTTCATCAGCTCAGATGGCTCCGGAGGCTCAGCCTCAGCAGGTGATGCCATCTCACCCCGACGAAACAGCAGTGAGTATGGCTTTCTTGAATTCACCACATCATCTCCCACTGACTTGGCGGAACCAGTGTCTTTAAAGTGCCAAAGTCCCTCCATCACCGCTTCAACCATAGACCTGGAAGTAAGATCATCATCAGAGGCAGGGCACAAAGATCATTCAGGAGTGTGTACATGTCAAGTTCAGCTCACAGCCAAGAGACAGAGAGGTTCATCTGCACATGAAGCTGTATCTGTAGGACGAACATCCTCCCAGGCTTTGATAAAACTTCCCCCTCCACCTCAGCATTTTTCAAGGAAGTGTGAAAACTTAAATGGATAAATGGATTTTAAAGTAAAACAGTGTAATAAATACTCAAGTAATGCATGTATTGCAGTGTGTTTAAAAAATAAGCATGTTTGTGTGTGTCTCATGTCCCAAGGGTCATTCATGATGATGCATGATGTGTGTGAACTTTCCTCAGCAAACCTCAATATGTCTTCCCTGTGTCTTACTTGTTTCTTAATGTGTTTCTTCACTCCTGCCTTCCTCCTTCCCCGTATCTCCCCCTTCTGTCTCTCTCCTCCCTTACACCCCTCCCTCTGCTTGCATCCATCCCTTTGTCTGCCTCCCATGTGGCTGCACTTTGCTGTTAAAAAGCCACCAAAATGTTTCCCCGTATGAGGAACAGGCTGAAGGACAGAGACAAAGTCAAGTCCCTCTTCCGTCGTTCCATGTGTAAGAAAGATTGTGGTCCGGTGTCTACCCTCATCTTGACTGTCGCCTTTTATTCACTGCTAACTTGATAATACTAAGTGTAACTGTGCTTTATTTTGTTTCTACTGCACACCATAACACCAATGTAACCTTAGTCTGAGTAGGATTCATCATTGTCAGCCAGGGTGCTACACAACAGGTGTAAAATCAGCAGTCATATGTTAGTAACGTGTCCATGCCAACCTTATTTCACCGCATTAACTTCACTAAGTTAGAAACTATATGACATACTTCAACCCGGGTGGCACTTTTGAGCAGAGTGGCTATATTTGAAGACAATCTGGGGTATTTTTTCAGAGGTCAAAGAAATGCTGCATTGCAGGAGGGCACTGACGCTGCATGAGCTCAGCACTACCAGGAGGCAGCTGTACTGTAGGGATTAACTGTATAAAACCACAAACAAGCCATCCCCGTCTCCATGTTTTCCACACCATAGAACAAAAATACCTCCTAATCTCCAAGGCCAGTTCACCTGTCTATCCCCCTCCCTCATTCACTCCCCACTTCTTCCACTCCTTGGTCCAACAATGCAGCCCTGAGCAGCTTGGCGTACCCCTCGGCCCTGTTGGAGGAGGAGCGGTGGGCAGGCAGCTCAGAGCGGCTGGAAGGGTCAGAGGCAGACGGGGAGGAGGACGGGAAGAACGCATTGTCCTCATCCCTCACCACATCCATCTTGTCCATCCTCCACCTTAATTTTCCCACCACTCAACCATCCGGCCACGTCACAATCCCAACCACAGACACCACCGACACTGTTCCAGATGTTTCTGAAGTCTGGGTGACAGGTAGAGGCATTCACGAGCTACTGATTTGTTTCATGTCATCTTCATTAGTTAGATTCTGAAGTAAAGTGTGTAGGAGAGTAGAGCAAAGACACCGCTCCTGTGTGCTTTTCTTGTTTTAAGCATAGAAACTAAAGTGTTGGAAAGTGTCAGTCGCTCGTAACCGTTAAGTGATTTCTCATTCTATGCCCCACAGACAAGGATTCAAGTGACAGTGCTGTGCCATCTGGATTTGAGGACAATGACGAGCAAAACCACGGTAAAGCCCCGTGGATACTCGTTTAGAGGATTCAGCAAGCATACAGATGTATTACCAGCTCTGGAATTAGAGCAAATCCATCAAATTGCAATCATGACCTTGTTTCATATTAATCTCTGTGCTGACGACAGAGGCCAACAACTGTTAGAGAAAGACTTGAGTTTGCTGTCCTCTGGTGGTCATTAAATATACAATCATATATACATATTTTTCCTCATAGAGCTGTTTATCAATCTAGATTGATTTGGTGTGAGTTGCAGAGTGTTGGACTGTGTGTTTACTGCTACTAAGTCACCTAGAACCACCGAGCTAATTAACATTACAGCTCAGCTGAAGTGGATGCCATTAATGTTTACATTTCACACTGTCACAATCGGGAGCCTCTTGCCCATGAGTAGATGCACGCTTCCTTCTGCGCAGTGATACACTCAAGTGTAGTAGTAGTTTGGTAGAAAGAAAATAGTTCCTGCATGAAACTGCTCACAACAAGGTCTGTGGATTATCTTGACTGACCAGGTCATGATTCCTGAAATTTGAAATTTATTTTTTGGCACTTTGAGCACCACAAGCCGAGTGCCATCTAGTTTCATTATATTTAAGAGAAGGCAGACATCTCTGCAGCCGATATCTCCAACACTATCTTGATACAGCCCATGTGTTTTTGTGATTAAGAGAAAATTTGTGTATATATTCTATTGTTACCCCATAATAAAACCTTTATAATCTCTTTCCAGGGCTGAATGGCGTCCCGAGTCGAGCCCATAGTGAGAGCAGCGGAGAGTTCAGCCTGAGCCTGGAAAATGAGCCATGGTCAAATGGCAGCAGCCCTGTCCAGCAGCCTCCATCACGCCGCTGCTCCGCCTCCTCCTTCCAGCCCCCCAGTGATACCTCCACTCCCCAACACACACAGAAGCAGCAGCAGCAGCACAAGGAGAAAGCCTCAACTATGCCCGTCACCAACAGCCAGAATTCAGATATCCAGTCTACACCAAAACATAAAACTCCTGGGCTCTCCCAGGACTTCTGGCTCACAAGGGGTACAAAGAGCATCCGGAGGGTGTCAAGAGGGAAAGTGATGCGTCGCTCGTCAGATTCAGCAAGCTCAGTCAAAATTGACCCAGGGCTCAATGGGATGAATTCAAAAATGACCTGTGGCCAAGCTGAAACTACCCGAGCCTTAGCTTGTTCCCCTATCACAGTGCTGTACGTTCAGGGTAAGTCATCCTCAATGTCTGGCTGTCTCAACTGCTTCTCCACCCCTCTGGGGAAAGAGGGGCGACTCAAAGAGCCCAGGTCACCCAAAAGTCTCCCCCGAGCCAGCAGCGTCATTTCCACAGCAGAGGGATCATCCCGACGCTCCAGTGTAAATAGTGACTGCAGGGTTACAGTTAAGACTGACCTGCTCTCTGCCCAGGTTACAGAGGGGAGCAACAATCAGGAGGAAGTAGCGAGTCAACCTAAACCAGAGACCAATAACAGTGAGCCTGAGCCCATTCCTCCTGTCAAACCTCCCAGAGACCCAACAATTGTTGTTCCAACAGATGACCCCAAATCCCCTGTGCAGGAGTCACTCTTTGGCTCCTCATTCACGTTCAACTCCGTCTTCTCAAACACGATCTTCAGTGATTCTGTGGTCACAACCACGACCAGCCTGGATGCTCTTGACAACAACCAGACCTTCCTCTGTCTGGATCCATCTCAGGTGCAGAACTGTCCACTTGAGAGCCAGGAGGCTGCTCCTAACACACCACAAACACTGCTCAATGTGGAGAATGGGCAGAGTCAAAATGCAGAACATGCAGCCGGGTTGGAGGAGAGGGACAAGCAGCTCGCAATTGCATGAAAACAGCTGTCACATCATGTCATATCATGTCATTCAAATAAACAGGAAGCTGCAAAGCCACTTTTCATCACATTAACTGAAGCACACAATTTAAGTCACTGTAATTTAGTGTGATCGCATTTAATTCCTCTGACTACCTGAGTATACAGTCATATGTAAAGGTGTAAATGAAAATATGTTTATTTGGTTGTGATGTTTTCTCTTTTTATATTGCTTTAGTAAAAGTACTAGCTCTTATTATGCTCTTATATTAATATACCTGAGTAGTAGCTCAACAGATTGACAGTTTTATCTTTCTTTTTTTGTACAAATTCTGTTAAGTGAATGACATTTTGGTAGATGTTCTCTTTTGCTTATTTAAAATTAGATTGTGACTCAAGCCTTTACTTTACCACACTGACAATCCTGTTAAGTTTTTTTGTGTTTGCCAAACATGTTATTGATTTCTGCTGTTTCTATTTATGTCCTGCCATTCAGACAGAACTTTTAAATTATTATATGTCGACTGCTGTGTCTGTTGTTAAATTTGAGCCCAACGTTCATGTGTGAGAAGCTGTACATCTTGTAAAATAGGACGTGTACCTGAATGCTATTTTCCCTTAAATAAAAGCCCCTCTATGTAAACGGTGTATCTGTGTTGTCATTGTTTTATAACGGCGCAGGAGCGCTCGTGCCCGCCCACTGTCCTTATTGGATGTCAGATCGGTCACATGACGCAATGCGGAAGAGGACCATTTTCAGCCGAAAAACAAAACATTCGTGGGTGGTGTGGAGTTATTCAATCTGGTCTGACGTTACTCAGCTCTGCTGGAGTGCTTTCGTAAACTGTGCCGCATAGCTCGACAGCTTTACCCGGGGTTTGGCACGATGCTGAACGCCGCCGCCGCGGAGAGGAACAAGGAGCCCATTCTGGCGGTGCTCCGGGAGTGCGTGAACACCGGGAGACCCCTGCAGGCTTTAGAGATCTCCTCCGGTACCGGACAGCATGTCATACACTTCGCTCAGGCCCTGCGGAATATTACCTGGCAGCCCTCAGAGTATGACCGCCAGTCTCTAGTCAGGTAAACACAGGCTGTGTGAATCAGTTATTAACACTTTACATAACAGGTGTAGCTTATAACCAGCTTATAAACTCGGGTATTTACGGTACTGATTGATTCCTGCGTAGCAAACTTGAGGCAAAGCGTTGGCCACTTAACTCAGGCATTACGGTAGTTCATTTACTGATGCAGGACTGTTTTGTTGGAGGGTGCTTGCATTAACAATAATGTCCATTGTTCCCATTCTCAGTATCGAAGCGTACAGAGCCCACTACCAGCCGTACAATGTGAGGCCTGCCATCCACCTGGATGCTTCTCTACCCCATCAGTACTGGGGAGGCATCCAGCCAGAGAGCCTCGATTTGGTAGTCAACATCAACATGATCCACATTTCTCCAATGGCTTGCACAGAGGTAGGGCTGCTGATCTTATAGATGCATATGCACATAGTGTTGTGAATGGTCTAATCTAACCCAAGGATCCCACCCAAAACTGGATTACCAAGTGGCAAAGCAGGCAGGGCCCCTGAAGGCCCCACGTTAAATGTGTGGCAGTTGCAGTAATTACACAAATTGCACATTAGTTTGGTACTGTATGCACCACCAAAGCACACTATAAACTGAAATGTCAAAGGCCTCATCAGCATGTTGAGGCCCTGCATCACATAGGGGCCTCTAGCTAAAATCAAGTTGTAAGGCTTTTATTATTTGGGTTGATATTGTGCTTGCTTACTCACCTCATATTTCTTGACAAATTTATAATGAATCAAAGCAACACAAACTAATTACTAATAATGGGTCCTCAGTTCATTTTTGCTGTGGGTCTCCTTGGGTGGGTTAATCCAGCCCTGATCCTACCAAATATAGTTTAGGTAAACCCTGATGCTAGAAGATAGATGGGGCTTTTAAAATATAGTACTTAAAGGAACAGTGTGTACAATTTAGGGGGATTTAGTGGCATCTAGTAGATTGCAACCAGCCGGAATCTCACAGTTTAAACTCCTTCTGTGATAACTGTTCAGGAGGTTTTTAGTGAGAGCCAAATTATTCGTCGAGGTCTCTTCCTCTCCAAAACAAACAGGCACGGTGATTAAAACTGGTAAAAACACTGAGTAAAATACAAATCAGTGTTTCTCCAATTCCCCTAATGAACTACAGTGGCCAACACAAAAACATGAATGGCACAACTGCATGAGATGGGCCGCTAGCCTAGCACCTACTAGTGAGTGCTCAGCTTTTGTCTCTGGTAACTTAATATACAGTCACTCAGGAGGTTTTTACTGGGACCTGAATTAAACAAACCCAGTGATTTAAACTGGTAAAAACACAAAATAAAGCAGTTTCAACTTTTAAAAAATCAGTGTTCTTCCAATGCTCTCATGCGGAGGGGCTGCTAATTACACTGGCCGATGTCGACACACAAACAGGCCTATCTAGAGCCAGTGTTTGGTTTGTCTGTACTGTAGAAACATGACAGAGAACATGTTGATCTCTGTAGATGAGGACCTGCTCCTTATGTGACTATAAACAGGTCATACTAAGGTAAGTAAAACACAAAGATTCTTATTTTTAGGTGAAAAGAAAGCATACTTATTATAATATATTAGATTTCTGCCCATATATCCCCCAAATCCCACACGCTGTACCTTTAAAGCAACATTATGTAACCTTAACAGGAACCACTGTGGCCACAAGTGGCAGTTAAAGGTTAATGGTTAATCCTAAAATATAATCTTAACAGTGGCATAAACACAGACCAGGCAAAAGACACAAAAGATATTCAGTAATGTAAGTTACACATACTTAAGTCAGCTAACATAAGCCACTGTATGCTACTGGTCAAACCAGACCAAGTGAGGCTGTGGCAGCAAAACCTTTGTGTGTGTTGAACAGAGTGAGAATGTGTTTTATTGCTTATAAATGAAATTTTTCATTGGTCTCATTGCTTTCAAAAATACATAGCCTGACTAGTTTTGTACAGCAATCTATCGGCAGGTCCTGCTGTTCAGTTTCCATTAAGCAGAAATATTGCACTGTGGGCCCCTGAGCATGTCTATATAGTGTGAGCCCTCTGACCTCAGATAATAACTGTAAGCAATTCCCTTATACATGTTCTGCCTCAGGTCTTTCAGTCTTTAAAAGAGGGCTGGTGTATTTATCCCTCCTGCTACTCAACCCCTACCACATATGATGTAATCACCATTTTTTTCCTAGGGGTTATTCAAAGGGGCTGGAGCAGTGCTGAAGCCGCAAGGTCTTCTATTGACATATGGGGTGAGTACAAAAGCCATGTTGTCACAAACATGCAATGACCACATTCATGATGTGTTATTATCAAATGTAAACAGAGAAGCGTGCCAATAAATGCTACATAACACATTTTGTTGTTGCCCTCAGCCCTACGCAGTGAATGGTCAGATCACCCCTCAAAGTAATATTGACTTTGACTACAGCCTACGGCAGAGGTAAAGTGCTCTGTGTTTTATCAGTCTTTTTTAATGCTTCATGCAAGTTTATTCTGTTATAAAGAGACTTGGTAGGAATTGAGAGATCACAGTATTTTCTTGTCAAAAAAAAGAAGACAGTAGCATCTATTTGCCTCGTGAAGTTTCAGGTGTTTTTGTCATACATACCATAAATAATGCAAAGGTGACAGTGAGATATATAAAGGCTGTATTTTTTAATCTTACAGGAACTCCGAGTGGGGACTCAGGGATATCTCCCTCCTCAATTCTATAGCACAAAGAAATGGTTTATTCTTGGAGAAAATAGTAAGTGAACATTTAAATATCCAACACCATTTTTATCTTTGAAATGCAGCAAAGATGAGAATGTTACCTGCGTTATGAGAGTACCGTCTCACTAAGTTATGATTTTTAATGTTTTCTTTGCTAGGTGGACATGCCTGCAAACAACAAGTGTCTTCTGTTCAGGAAGGAGAGCCTGGTGTGAAGTATCCCGTCGTTCCCTCTCTGGGTGCACACCAGTGTTGGAACGTGATACTCAAAACGCCTTAACTTACACTTGAAGCTCGGATACATTGCCAAATTTTCCAGAACTGTTAATGAATCATTTCTCCATATTAATCAGAACTGAAATACTGTAATCTGTGATACACTATATTCTTCTGTATTGCACACTTGAGTAAAAAGGCTCACAGCTATGTTGTCTTTGTACTATATTTACCTTGATACAGCCACCTACTCTGTTTCTTCATTCAGATTGCAGACGGTCAGTGAAACTAAGTATGCAGAAGTGCTTTGCAGAGGGAGATATGAAGAGAGAATACACTGCACGTTAGAGCTTTAAATCATACATAACAACAAAAGAAACCTATACAAAACAGCTATGTAAATGACTAGTATAAAGAGCCGTATACAGAATAAACACAAAACAATAAAACACATAAACACAATATAGAGGTAACATACTGTAGGTGTTTGTTTCTTTAGCATCACAAGCTTGTTGATTAACTTATGTGGCTGCTATCATATTTTTCAGAAACATACAGAATACATGTCAAAAGAGAGAATATCTATTTAAACTTATGTAAAAAGCACATTTCAGCATTGCTATTAATGGACGCACAACACATCTGGAATGTAGTACAACCTGTGTTGTAATGAATATATATTGTACATACGAGTCATTTCTCATAAAGCCATTAACATACAAAATTTGACATATTTTTGTCTTTTGATTTAAAGAGTTGTTATTAAATATCAGCTTGTCTTGTTGCAGTTCTGATGCTTATCTTCAGTGCTAAAGGTAAAGGTGACCACAGACGCTATGTGGGCTAACAAGTCCGAGTCCTGGGACTTCTACAATACCTCACAGGTCTTTTTATTCAGAACATCACGCAGCTTCTTCAGTCTGCGCTCAGTTATGGCTCTGACATAGCTGTCTGATTGGATGATGGCCATGCCATCTTGAACAACACCCATCACCAGCAATGGGTTTTCCTCCATGGTGATGTTGGGACAGGGACAGCTCCAGTCTATCTTGGCGATAGTCACCTCTAGGTGCTTGGTATTGAAGAAAGTCAAGCCCATCTTTTCATCTCTCAGGACCTCCTCCAAGCTAAAGCGGGCTAACCCCGAGTCCAGATCCTCCACCAGCTCTGTCAGCCGCCCCACAATAGCAAAGTCGCTCCTGCATAAGCTCGGCACCATTTTCCCCTTCACGCGACATGTCTTACAAGGTTTTCTTTTGGCTTGTGGGCAGTTTGCCTCACACTCCTTCTTGGTATGGAAGCTGTTGGCATTCCCATGGCAGCCACCGTAGGCAAAGGCTTGGCACTGTTTCAGGAGGGAATTCCAGGCCCAACGTGGCTCCCAAGATTTGCAGGGGCCCTGGACAGCAGGCAGGGAGCAGATACCCATCCCCTCTCTCTGACAGGACGCCTTGCACTCCTCATAAGTCTCGAAGCGGTTGCGGCTGTCGTCACATCCACCATTGCTGAAGGCCATGCAGGAGCCCAGCTTGCTGTCATAATACCAGTCCACGTGGCGCTCACCACTGCACACTCTCATGTCCACTTCAGCCAGGCAGTCTGCTGGTGAGAATGGCCGCCCCATGGGCATCTCAGGATCCTCAGAGAAGTCATCATCAGACCGGCGGATGACAGACAGTGGGTAGTCTGCACGGAGAACTCCTGCAGAATTCCGTGCAATGCAGGTGTAGATACCTGTATCCCACACCTGTGCATTGTAAATGACAAGCTGACCGATGTTGGTGATGACCACGTTGCCATACATCTGGTCAGGCCTCATGACCAGCCGTTCACGCCGTTCACTCTGTTTCTCCCATGTCACATCAGGTCTGGGGACTCCAATAACGTCACAGTGGAAGCTGACTGTGCCTCCCACATAGATGGACTGGTGGTGAGGGTTGGAGTACAGTGTGGGCGGCATAGGGTCCTCCTGGGAGGATGTCGGAGTGGGGTTCGCTGTAGTGTCCTGAGGCAGTGGGCTGGTGTGGGGCCCGGCCAGGTAGAAGCGGCAGGTGACCACAGTTAAAGTCACCCCACGGATGCAGGCCTCTGCGTCCATGTAGCAGCGGTTGAAGTAGGTGAGGCCATCTGAGGCACAGGTGAAGTTGGGCTCTTTCTCACACCGGTCCTGGCACTTGCAGATGGGCTGTCCATCCCAGATGTCACAGGTTGCTCCCTGCTGGCTGCAGATAAAGCCCTCACAGGTAGCCGTGGAGGTGGGGGCATCACCTCCTCCCTCTCCACCCTGCCCATCTGGCTGGGCAGGGGTGCCATCAGAGAAACGTGCAGCCACACAGCTGTTGAGACCACACACGTTGGTGCAGCATTTCTCAAAGTCAGCACAGTCCTGCACACACAACACAGCATTTATTAGCAGCTTTAAATGAACAAAAATGAGCTGATGAATATTAATTAAGCATTATTGAGAATAATATAAATAATACCACCTCATCGATGTTGCATTCTCTCTCGCAGGTGCTTTGTGCATCAACCCAGAGATTAGAATTCAGCTTGTTGGGACAAAATCCTTCGTGTGCAACTTTGGATCTTGCCACACTTGCACACAAAGAAAGTTCGGGTAATTCCCAAATGAAGAGTATCAACAAATACGCACGTATCCATCCGATCTTATTCGAGTTGGGTGCATTATGCCGACTTTGATCCCTCACACATCTAGCCTCCAAAAGTTGTAAAGGGATTTCACACATTATTGCTCTTTTGCATGAGTCGCCCACCGAGTAAATCCATTCCTCCCTTAGGTGTTCAAATTCGGACTGTCGGTTTCAAATGGGGTCCGTTTTGTGCGTAAACATTGTGGAAAAGAGCTAAACGTGCGCACAGTGTAGAGTTGTAACAATCCCAAAGACCAAGACGAGCTCCCACGCGCTGGACATTTACTGAGCAAGATATCAGGCAAAAAAAAGCGATTAAAAATGCAGTTGTGTTGCATGAAATAATTGCCTTGATAATCAAAAACAAAACTCTTGCAACAATAGGCAAACTCTCATTCAGGTTCCATTTCCCCCAGCAGCGAAATAAGCGAACGAAACTGCACAATGAGAGAGAAAGACGCAACATCAGCCTTTCAGAGTGTGAATGGAGGTGGAAAGGGCAGCCCCTCTGACCGCCCCCATGGTCGTCCAGTGTCTGAAACTCTTATGAAGCAGCACCATGCGCTAAGCAACTGGACAAACATTGTAAAAACATCAAAGCAAAACGTGGGGCCGTGGTGGCAAGCTGTCCCAACAACCGTGCGCACGGAGCTACACATTCCGGTGAGAAATCCAACGTTAAATGTGTCCAGACAGAATTTATAGAGGTGTCATTCATAAATGAGGTAATGAGCTGTTTTTTACGTTGTTGCAGTTGTAGGTTATATTTTAATCCTTGGTTTTAGAGACATGTCCAGATGTTTTACGCAGTAGAAACTTGTGCGCGTATTAGTTTAGTTGCGCAAACCAAAGAGTAGATTGTAAAAGAAAAAGTGCTGGAGCGCAAGGCTGAAAGCGTGGAAACCAAACATGGGGCGTGTCGCATCATGTCTAGCAAAACATGTTGTTTACGTCCTTCTTGTCTAGACGTCGGTCAATTTAGCACCGTCCCTCATTCACACGGAGCTCAGAGATGCCTCGGTCAGGTGGGAAGGCGTAAAGCGCCACATTTTCAATAGTGTGCGACTCATCTTTGTCCCGGCGCAGCTCCGAGGCGATGAGAAGCAGCACCCCTCATCTTTTCATTGCAAGTGACCCTGCAACCTTTAGCTGACTTTTGACCGCGCTGCATTCATGCGCTGCGGCGACGCGCCGGTTATCCAAAACTGGCCAATACCGAGAGAGCGGCTAATCAATTCAGCACCCCCCACTCACACACGGGTTTTATTGCACTTGGGCACCGGCGGCCCCGAACTGGACAATGGGTACAAAAATATTCCCACAATTCCCCCACAATGACCTTGATAAATGAATGAAAAAAAAATCACAGCAGCATGGCGCACAAGATGATGGAAACACAATCGTGTATAGTTTTACCCTTTATTTGGTTGGGTGTCTGTTTTCAGTGGAGACAAAATCATAACTCATCCCGTATCCAAACCTTTAGACACACAGCTCCGATAGCAACAATTATTATCAAATGTTTATAGTGCTTTAAATGTCGTGTGAGCCCATTGGACTGGCCTCAATACACCACACAAAACAGGCGCCGGCAGGAAAACATGCACCAATTTTTTATGCCCTCCATGACAGTATCACAGACATTTAGCCATGACACTGGGAATGTTTAAGTGGAAATACAGCACATGGTAATCAGAGGTGGAAAGACAACTGAGAATTTGTATCTGAATAAAAGTATTTCTGCAGTTTTTTCAGTTATTAAAAGAAATCACCAGTTATCTCTTATTTAAAAAATGATTTTCTGATTTCCTGTGCCCTTTATGAAGTCTTCAAGTTCATCTGACATTACACTATTCTCCACCATAAAATGACCGACCCCTCCTATTATACATACATTTTATGAGGGTCAGAAAATAAGATAAACTTAGGCAGCAAAAGTACAAAATATCAACGCTTAATAAAAATATCACAACAGCAAATGTGCCCAATATCTTTCCACCTCTGATTCTTAAAGTCCCACATATTACCACATGGCCACAGCAAAGTCGCAGATGAATATTGTCTTACATTCATAAATACATTGCATATACATAAAATATCCAAAAAGCAATTCAAATTAAAAACTCCTCTCACCAATGCCCGGTGAGTTTACAAATTCCTGTTAAGAACCGAGACACCGTTGCAGCGCTTTCTGAAGGCAAAACGCCACAACTGAGCAAACAATCTGAGTTTGTACAAGGTTTCCCCATCAGCACCAAGTCATGCTGATGGATTTAAATTGATCATGCGGTCAGTTTAAACCAGTTAGAGCGATGATGCGACTCAGGATATTAGATTTGGGGCAAAAATGGCCTGAGAAAGTCAACAGATGTTCAAACCGATGACTGATGGAGGATAGAGGGTGAATTCATTTGGGCAGAAATTAGAGGGGCACCACTGGAAGTCTTCAAAACAACTTAGCTAGACAAGTTTCTCAGCTTGAGTAGATCTAGACTAAGAATGTTTTCTGATGGATAATGGTCTTGTTATTTTTCTTAAATCCAGCGCAAGTCTGTCTGG